CTTTATGCTGAAGTGTAGGCCTGCATTTTAAATTTCACTCTAATCTTTAGAATCAGAAGAGTTTCCATTAACACTATTACAAGAACTACTGACCTTTTCTTTTTTTTCAGCACAATTTTTTCCAAATGTCATTAAGCTCTAAACGTCTCACAGTAAATGGCAAGACTGCCATCTAGCGCTTTACAACTATTCCTTTAATATTTTTAAAAGAGAGGACCGTCCTCTGTAATGCAGAGATGAGCTCTACAATATGGTAGCCACTATCGCATGTGATATTGAGTAACTGATGTGACAAATTTAATGTAAGATTGTTCTACATACTGAATATACAAACTATATTTCAAACACTTAATTTGGAAAAAAAACTAAAAGATAGCTCACAGATGATTATTATACTGTTACATGTTAAAAAGACATATTTTAGATATGTTGACATAAATAAAACATATTATTAAAACTAATCTCACCTGTTTCCTTTTACTTTCTAATGGAGCTAGTAGAAAATTTAAAGTTACATAGGTGGTTCACATTATATTTACATCAGACAGCCCTGATCTGGAAGAAAAAAAACCTTATTCTGTAGCATAAAATGCTTAAATATTAGTATATTTCCTATTTCTAAAAAATGGAATATACCACATTTTGCTGTGTATAATACATACTTTTTGGCCAAATTTTTGAGGAAAAATAGCGATGTGTAGTAGACATGAGTAGTATTAATTTCATGTCCATGTAAATGTTTTTAATTCCTTTATTTATGCTTATGCATTAAAAGTATAACTCAGGAAGCAATAATGATACCCATATGCAAATGACTAATTATTTGTTACATAAAATTTCTTGTACCATAATATGTTCCAAAATAAATGCTAACATTCCTTTATAATACAAAAAACAAGTATCTAAATGTAAATAAATAAATGAGTTAAAAAATTTAAATGAAAGATTTTTTTCCCTGAAAGTTTGAGGTAAAAATGCAGGTGCATATCATACATGGCAAAATGCGGAGATTTATATGTGTGCATAATTGTCACTAGTTAGTCCTTTGGGACACATTGAAAGCTAAAGATTCAGGAAGAGGAAGAACAAGAAAAGAAGACTCGAAGAGGGATTTATAATTTTAAAAAATCAGACAAAAATATGTCCCCATAACATCCAGGATGTTTGAAAGAAAAAAAAAACAGCAAAATAAATGCAGAAGAGATAGATAATAAAGATATTTTAAAAGACATAAAATATAGACAACTTAAGTATCAGTAATAATAATAATTGAGAATGGACTGAAACATGTTAAATATGTATGAGTTCATATGTTTAAGATACAAAAACAGAAAACCTAGTTGTCACCTTTGAGAGATACTGCACAAACTATTCTCTGCTCTGAGAACTGGTAAATTAAAAAGAAATTTATAGCATTTATCATCCTTTTTTTGATATGAAGTGCAGTAATGAATAACCAAATATCTGATGAGAAGAAATTTGTTTTAGAGAAGTTTTGCATCAAAGAAATAAAAAAGAAATTGGAATGTCACAATTTTGCAAACCCCTAATCAATGAGAATTGAAACATTGATCATGTACCTGCTAAGAACATAATAAGAGAGAGTAGCCGCGATTATGCCTTGCTGCTAGATGAAGAGCACAAAACCACCTATGAAATAGCGTTTCCTCTCAGATCAAATCTGAATCTGATTAAACCTCTCTCTGGGTATCTCAGCCTCAGCATCATGTCAATGTTGAGCCAGATAACTCTCAGGTCGGAGGAGGCCGTCCTGTTACACTTCAGGGTGTGTAACAGCATTTCTGTCCTCTGCCCACGAGGGGCCTAGAGGGCCCCTGCCCTGAGCCCATTCATAATAAGCAAAAATGTCTCCCAACAATGTCAAATGTCCCATGAGGAAAAAAAAGAACAACCATAATATGAGTTAGGTGTCACATTCTCAACAAAATTAGAAAAATAAATATAAAATGATTTTTTAAATACTTACAAATTAAGAAAGTTCTCACATATACATACAAAAAGAAGATAATAATTGAACCATAAACTACACAGAAAACAATTTAATATGAAAATGTATAGCAAATGTGGGCAAAAAACAACAATGATTTTTTTTAATTGCCAAAGATAAATCCTAAAACTGATAAAGTAGAAATCAGAATCAGTGGAAAAGATGAATAAACCCATGCAGAAACATGGTAATAAATACATAAATATGATGAACAAAAAAACTACAAATAAAAAAGTACCAGACCATGGATATATAGTGAAATTCAGCTAAACTTTAAAGTTCACTGAATAATATTTAACTACTCCTATTTTTTAAAAAGATAACAATCTTCTCAAATTCAATTTTAAAATTATCACCATAGTTACATAATATGAAGCTAGAAAAACTAAAAACTTACAGCCAAAGGTCATTTAATTTAAAAAATTCACATAAAATTATAGTTTGCATTCATTTATACTGAAAATAATCCTAAATTAAATATAAACAAGTAATATTTAATGGTAATTCAAATAATATGCCATGACTATGTTTGGTTTACCCCAAAATGAAAACACGTTTAACATTAGAAAGTCTATTAATGCAACTTTACCTTTAACAAGGTAAAGGGAAAAGGCATTCAAGATGAAATTTTGAAGCACGCTAACATAAACAAGAATTTTCTTAACTTCACACAGGGAATATTTCATAAACTGTATCAAAGTCTCCCCTTGATTATAATATCTACTACCACCATTTTGACTTGATACAGAAATAGAAATCCTTACCATCCCAATAAGAGAATAAAAAAATTGAAAAGGAGGGAACAAATGTCCTTATTTTCATGCAATATAATAAACTACATTGAAAAATCAAATCTATAATATTAGGATTATTAAAAAGTTGAGAACATCAGATCAATGTATTAAAATAAATATTTTTATATATGAAACATAAATAGAAAGTAGACTTATAAAAGGAATCCACACAAACAAAATGAAAACATATGTCCATAAAAAGACCATCTAAATGTTTTTATCAGATCTTTCCTTAGTAGCCAAATCCTAGAAATAATCCCAATGTCCTCTATATAGTGATTATCAAATAAAAGGCAGTGGTATATCTATATAATGTTATATACCATTTGCCATGTTAACCTAGTAAAACAGAAACACCTTATAACCATCTCAGCTGATATAGAAAAATCAAATTATATAAACAAACACCAATTCCAGATAAAACTGTTCAGCAAAGCAAACAGAAAAACAAAATATTCAACCTGATAAACATATTCAGGAAAACCTAAATCATACTTAATGGTGAGAGTCTGGATAATTTCTAAGATCAGGAACAAGACAAGAATATTAACATGCTCACAACATGTTTTCACAGGGTACCAGAGGTAGTAGCCAATGCAATAAGGCAAAAAAAAGAAAAGGTATCAGGGGGAAAAGGGGAAAACTTGAATTCCATTATTTGCAGAACACATTATTGTCTATATACTACACATGCCAGGACCTACAAAAATGGTACCAGAACTACTGAGTTTAGCAAAGCTGAAGGATACAAAATCAATATTAAAATCAACAGTTATTAAACATACTAGACACAGAAATAATTAAAAATAATATTTCCACACCATCAAAAATATAAAATATTTAGATATAATTATGAAAAAACTGTGAAAGACCCACACAGTGAAAATCACCAAATACTGTTGAGAATAAATTTTTAAATAATTTAAAAAAAGAGATACACTATGTTCATAGGTCAGGAGACTTACTACGGTTAAGATATTAATTCTCCTCAAACTGATCTATAAACTAAACACAATCTTAATTCAAATCCTAGCATATATTTTTGTGAATAATGACAAGCAGATTCTAAAGTTCATATGTAAACAAAGAAAATGGAACAGCCAATATAAGTATGAAGAGCAAGAACAAAATCGGTGAATAAATATTACATGATTTCAATACTTATTATAAAGTTACAGTAATCATAACAATGCCATACTCGCATACAAATAGACAAACAAATTAATGGATCAGAATAGAGAGTCCAGAAATAGTCTTATACATGTATATGGACAGCTGATTTTCAGCAAAGGTGCAAAAGCAATTCCCTGGTTAAAAGATAATGTGTGAATAAATACTATTAGAACATTTGGATGTCCAAATGGAGAAAGAAAGTTGATTCATCCCTTAAAATGTATGCAAATATTAACTGAAATGTAATATATACTTAAATGGAAAACCTAAAAATATAAAATTTCTAGAAGAAAATACAGGGGGAAATCCTTGTGACATTAATTAGGCTAAGATTTCTAAAACAACAAGTTGATAAATTGAATTTCATCTAAATTTAAAAATCCCATTAAAAAACTCTTAATAGAGTCATCAAATAAACACATGGAAAAATTCACATAAAAATGCTTACATCATTAGTCATTAGGGAATGCAAATAATATGAGAATTAGATATCATTAAAACTCATACACTGTTAATGAAAATGTAAAATGGTAAATCCATCTGGGAAATAGCTTGGTTGTTTCTTAAAAAATCAAATACACACCTGCCATATGATCAATACACAATGGAAGTGTCTTTCAACACAAAATCACTGCAGCTTTTTAATGATGACCAAAATTTTCCCCTTTAAAAAATCTATAACAAAATCTTAGTTGTGATAGATTTAATCCTAAATTTCATCCTAATAAAAAGATTGCACTAAAATCCAGCTGAGTTTACTCAAGTTCTATATTTTGTTCCATGTTCATAATAATATTTATTTCTATTTTCTATTCAGAGTAGAAAAAATGCACCAAATAAAATTAAGAAAATATAGTGAGAAGACACTGCTTTCCTTAGCAATATATGTTACAAGATTTGAGGAAAATAAAAATGGTAACCTAATAATGATATCAAGTATTTAACATAAATTTTATTATCTGCAGAATCACCTGAAACTAATGATACAAACCAATTAATTAAAATGAAAAAATACAAATACTTACAATAACATGTTCCTCTAAGTGGATTACCAACATAGCGATTTTCAGAGTCACATCTGCAGAAATAACAAGCAAGAATAAAAATATATATATAAGTAAAAAATAAAAAAGACAACTAAGACAGGCATATTTTTACCTTGTTTTTAATGAGGAAAAGCGCCGGAGAGCAAAAAAAGCAAAGAATTACCAAGCTAGGATGCAGAGGATGGATTCCCAGGTTATTGGGAGATTTCATGATTATGGACGGAAAGAGCATTTCACAGGAAGAAAGGGCACTGGCATTCGGGCTCACCAAAGGTTGATGAGCTAGGAGTCAAAGACCAATCTCAGGGGAAAAGACAGGAAGGTTCCTCCAAGAGGCTGAAGATCTACTGTGAACCATGTGCATCCCTGAAGATGATTAAGGTTCATGCCCTCGGGCTCGTGACTGAATTGAATTCTCTTTAGAAAAGCATTCCATGCAAAGCGTCAAACTAGCTATACATAAGTGTTGAAAACATGGTACCCAGTACAAAATAAAAAATAAGGAGGCTTAGAGACTGATAAAAATAAACAAGAACAAGAACCAGCAGAAACAAAGAATCACGTAAATAAAGCCATGGGAATTCAGATATTATCCGGGGAATGCCATAGGCTTTAATGTAACTATTTTTTATACAGTAGGAGATAACAGACAAGATTTAAAATTATAATAAAGTTAAGACTTTAGTCTAAAAACTGGACACTACAAAATCAGTAAAATAAAGTTGCAATAACAAAATTAAAAACTCGAGTGAATGAGATTAATAGCCAATTAGACACAGTGGAAAAGAGAAAAGTAAACTGAAAAACAGGTGAGGACAAAGGCAGAAAATAGGAAAAAGATGTTATTTATATGCAGGAGGTGAAACAACAAAAGTTTTTTTGGCTACGTCAAGGAAAATACTAACTGATTCAGCCAGTGGTTCTCAATAGAGATTAAATCTGTGGATAACAATTATTTACTCCATAATTATAGAGTTCTAATGAAACTCCAAAATGACAGGGAGGATAACAGACATTCTAAATTAACAAGGCAACCCCATGAAACAAAAAATGATCCAAACCCCACACAACTTTTGAATAACATGGCAAATGAATAACTTTTTGTTTATAATTACTTGAGTGTAGAAACAACTTCCATTTTACATAAAATTTATGAAGGTTTGCATATTTATAAAATATACTGAATTTTCTAGCAATGCAACTAACACATAACTTGAAAACAAACCATATACAATTATGTATAGAATGTAACAAAACATGTTCATCACTTCAGAAAACCTTATCAACAATAGTTTGCTGTTCATGATATGTATAACACATTTGTCTGGGTGTATCAGGTGTCTAGAGAATACATAAGACTCCTTGTAAGAGACTAAGAACCAAATATTACTAGTCGTATCAACTTATGAATAGCACTGGATTTCATTAAAAAGTAATTAAAACTGGTATATTACTCATACCCTATGCATTTTTTTAAAGTTTTGTAGCAGTACAATATAAAATGTATGTGGTAGACATTATACATTAAAATTTATTTTGGGGTTACCAATTGTTTTTCAACAGGGGAGTCTGACAATACAACTCTAGTATCTCATACCCCCTACTTCCTTTTGCCTAAGAAATAACACCGTTTCCACGGTCTTCCGAAATACCAGAAACTGCACTTATGCCTTGATACATGGTGGGGTTTCGAGAGGGGAAAAAATAGTTTGTAACATTTAATCATATGTCAGTCTATATTTTAATCTAGGGAACTATTTAAATGCAATTTATAAATCAAATTTAGACATTTTACAAAAATAATACATTGTGTTTTTGTTAAAATCCACACACTGCTCCTCAAAAGTAAGCAGTTTTCATAGAAAATACTACTTCACTTATTATATATTCATATGAGTTAATAGTTTCATTAAATTCATTTTTCAGTTATCATTCCTGAGGTCCCACTGTGTTTCAGGCCAGGGCCAGAATGAGAACCTCCTTGGCAAGATGAATAATTTGGTGTCCCTACCATGAACATTTGGATCCTAATACCAAGGCCCCACCCACTGTGTCTGCCATTCCCACCCTCAGCTTCTACAACAGGAAACACATTCTTAAAAATTTCTTCCATTTTTTCATGAGCAACTGCTTGGTTTCATGGGGAAAAAAAATTTTTTTTTAAAAACTCTAAAAAGGGTGTGAACTCCACTCTTTCTGCAGTGGCCAGGAGCTTTGCACTGGACTGACAGCCCACACTCAGCACCAGCTGATTACCCTCCTCAGAGGAACTCATAAGTTTCCAGTTGGTTTCACCCCAGGTAAGGGGGGGGGGGTTCTGTCTCATCTCTCCCTGAAAGCTCTTGTTCGTCTTTAGAGCTTTAGCCATTTGGTTACCTTGGGTTTTTGTTTTTGAACTGATGTTGATTCAGCAATGACTATGTGCTAGGCACCTTACTATGTACTTCATACTGGCAAATCTGATCTTCATAACAACTCTATGAAGTGATGGGCATTTACTGTTTTTTCCTGAGAAATACACAGATTCCCAGAGAATTCAAGTAATTTACTCAAACTATACAATTCGAAAAGTGATCAGGACTATTTCTTTCTATGTATTCACGCTACATGCAATTAACAATATGGTGGTTGATGTTAGCATTGCTGGGATTTAAGAATTCAGATTGTTCTCTTGACTCTATGACATCTATTAAAATCTCATTACTAGAGCTGGGAAACAGTTTTCACTGTGTTACCCCAAGTAAGGATGAGCATAAATTCTTAAGGGAGCACGCTGACAAACACCCACAGTGACATTAGCAGAATGCTCTAAACCAGGACTGTCCTGCTGGCTCCATGTTAACTGACTCTTCAGTGCAGTGAAGGGTTTAAGTCATCCCAGCTGTTGCCAGGGACCCGCGTCTACCTTCTCCTTCCCCCGCAGGCCAAACATCTCTCAATTCTGCCAAGAGTTCAAAGCTTTCAAACTTACTCATGAATCTGTAATTTGCCCAGCTTTTCCTTCTTTTATTGTAAGAGTAGAAGTGAAGCTCTTTCCAGCTCTCCACATCCTTGAGCAAACAATGGAAATGCTAAAACCATGTTCGTTTTTACCTTTTGGCTTCCCTGTTTACTGTATTCTCCACCCAGAACAGTTCAGCTCCTCCTTCAAGTTCCAGCTTAAATGCCCTCCACTCCAATTTCCCTCATCCCTCCAAGATGAATTCTTCACTCCCTTTTCAGGAATCCTTCTATACTTCCCGCACTCCATTTCATTAAATAATAAAGTTATTGAACACTGACACTGTGCTATTAAGTAATAATCCCCAAAGAATTTCACTTCTATTAAGAATACAAGCAAGTATACAGCTAGTTTAAGGGAAAACTTAACAAATAAAAAAAGAAACAATTTCAGTTTGGGGAGGTTATGAAAAAATATACAAGAGTATGTAATGTCTGAGAACTGACCGGAAACTATCCTGAGAGGAGGAAAGGGTTGGTAAGTATCTCAAATCACTTATGTAAGAAATTAGCGTATTTTGGCTACTGTCTACACTGCTATGTTGACAGATACTTTAAGCAAAAACCATGTGTCATTTATCTTCATTAATAGTAGCACTCATTTAACCACTGTTTACCGATTTGAATGAGTAGCTTTGCTTCCTAGCAAGAGTATTTTCTCCCATATAAGCGCACTATGGGAAATGACTGCTTTAGGAATGATGGCCCTGTCACTTCCCCACACTCAAAAGCTAAATAAATAGAACCAAAAAAATGAATGTAATTCTATCTACAAAATACTCTTTACAAATTAGTAGCCCAATTTTTCTTCTGCTTGCAAAAAAAATCATAAATGAGAACTAGGGTAAATGTACTTTCATCATTTAGAACTACATAATTTACTTTTTAGTATTTCATAGATATGTTAAACCCTGTAACTCTGCACATCGAAGTTCAATGAATTAAAATTCTGCTCTCTCATCTGGAGAAAAGAAAATGTGTTACTAAAGTACCGTATCACATAAGAGATAATCATGTGGATGGCCATCTCATTTATGCAGAAGTACATACAAATTAAAAATGTCAGTGCTCATCTTAACAATGGAATCTCAGAACAAAAATAAAACATCTGTTGCTTATGACCAGGACCTGCTGTGTACTTTATGGTGGGGGTGGGGTGGAGGGGATGCAGGAAAGCAAGGAGCAGTGCAAAAGGAAAACACAGGGCTCTTGTCAAAATGTTATTAAGAATTTCAAGATGGTAATGGTGCACCGTTAGAGCAGGCGGAGTGCCCTTGTGAGCATGAAGCCCTATGCAGATGCAGACACCACATGTCCATGAAGTTGACCCTGCTTATGACAACCAGGACTGAGTGTTGCAAAATAATGCAGGCATCCTTCAGTCTTAGAGCAAAGTACTGTGATTTAATTCCATCGGTAATGCGACCAAAATAGCCCTCCTTAATAAGAATTTCCTGATAATATTATGCTCTGGCCTCATTTTTAAGTTCAGAAACTATAGAGAGGAAATAAAAATTGGTTCTGCTTATCTTCTCTGAACTTGAAAACCTATGATACCTCAGTAACTAGTCAAAGACATAATCATTGAAATTGAAATATTTAGGATAATTTTAGAGCAAAAAAGACATTATTTCTTCTCAACAAGCACAAAACGATCAGTTTCCATGTTTAACAGACTTCTTCAGATATAATTTTTATATATTTATAGTTTGGGAAAATATTTTACCAATTTTTATAACTATAATTGCTATAGTTGACATTTATGGTTAGAGTATATTTATGTCTATTATAAACATAAGTGTTTGCATATATACAATTCAAAACCATACAAATACTTTTAATATATGATATTTATGAATAAGAATGAAAAGAAAAACATTTAAACAACATGAAACAACTGCTTCTTAAAGTTATTTTTGGGAGAGAAATAAATCTTGAGAATAACAGTCAAATTACAAGAAGACAACAGCGACTCAGAACTACTGAGCACAGAGGATCACCAAAAGCAGGTTTCTCTGCAGACATGACAGAGAAAAAGAAAACAACCACAGAACACATGTAAAAGGCTTAAAGAGCCACAAATACCAGAATTAATAATGAAAGATTCAAAAGAAAGAAAGGCATACAAACATTGGATTTGACTTATTTAACAAGATAGGACGTGAAATTATACAGATGACAATACAACTTGATATGTAACATGAGTTTTCCAGAAAAATAAGAATGTTTCTTCTTCTTAGAGATTTACAAAATACAAACATGATTTATGACCCATGTTTTAAATCCTCCAGAAAACTGTCATTTTAAAAAGCTTAACTTTTTATGAGAATTGACAGAAACTGAGTAAACAGCCTACAGTGATACTGGTCATTTAATCAACACACTACACTTAAAAAGGAAAACCTACAGAAATCAGCTTTGCGGTGCAAATTCCTCCCAGAAAAGTCCTATGAAACCATCTTTTACTTACAGTTGGCACTGATCACCTTTTATCCCCTTAGTTGTGCAGAAACATTTTCCCGTGTGCATGTGGCAGATATTGGCGTGGCCGCTGCACGTGCAAGCTGTGAAGTCAAAACCAAGAGGACACTGAGTATTTTCCATCTCCATCCCCAATGTGCGCATCAGGCACACCTCAGGGAAGGCTTCTTTATAGGATTTTTATTCCGTGTTTTCCTCTTGCCGTCCAAAAACTAGGGTTACCATCTAAGTCATTTTTAATTAAAGGGAGGTAAATCCACCTGTTTAAAAGGTATGTGAAACTCTTTCAAGTCTTGGCATATTTATGGACCTGAGTATTTATCTCTTTGGGCCTCTTTCCATTCCTACTTTGGATTATCTACTCAATGAAATGAGTCGCAAATGGCAGAAGAGCTTTGGAGTCAAACAGCTTGGTTTCGGCATGTGCATCTATAATCACAAGGTATGTGATGCTGGGTGACTTACTCAGCCCCTCTGGGCTTAGTCTCTTCATCTGTAAAAGGAAGGTAGTAACACATAGCCCTCAGGTAGCGTATCCCAAAATACCTAACACATATCAAGTACTTAATGAATACGTTTATTACTTATATTACTCCCACCGTTGACGATAATAAAAATAGTAACATATTGCATTGAAAAAGTATTTTGTGTTTACCCCCACATGGTCCTTTCCAACTGCTGAGATCATTCTCCCTCTTAGTTTTCCAGAACTAATTGAAACATGGCGTTAACAGTTAAACGCAGTTGATTTGGTTCGTATGAACCCGTCGTTCTTTTCTCATTTTGAATTTCTTGTTAAAGAGCAGTGCTCCGATCATTTAGGACGCCAACCTCACACCTTATTGTGCCCCGCACCCGAAGAACCGGTAGGTTCCAGTTCTGCATGTCCCCTCCTTTTCCTCGTGATAGTGTGATTCGGAGGCTGCCACCCGCCTTCTCTTCCTGGCAGCGGTGCAGTCACGCAGCCGATCTTCTCACCTGCGGTATCTCTAGGCTCCAACTCCCTCCCCAGCCCCGAGACGTATTCTGCAGAGACAAGGCTGACCGTATTACCAGACCTTTTAAAACCTTTAATGAGAACTCCAATGTTCCTGCACCCCACCAGTTAGCTAGGCCATTCTATGGGTAAAAATAAAATAGTGCGGTCTTTTCCTGATACATATACACATATAAAAATAAGCTGAGTCACTGGTTTTGATCAAAGTATAAACTGTTCTAGAACACTAAGTTTGTTGCTATTTGTTAATGATTATTTGCTTTAAAAATAGATAATTAAGCCCTGGCTGGTGTAGCTCAGTGGATTGAGCACAGGCCTGCGAACCAAAGATCGGGGTTCGATTCCCTGTCAGGGCACATGCCTGGGTTGCAGGCCAGTTCCCAGCAGGGGGTGCACCAGAAGCAACCATACATTGATATTTCTCTTCTTCTCTCCTTCCCTTTCCTTCTAAAGTAAATAAAACTTAAAAAAAAATAGATAATTAATGCAAAGTAAATACACATACCCCTTACACACACATAAAAATAAGCTGATATTAAATAAAATTTTAAGAACATGTTTTTTTCCTGAAATATATTTCTACATAAAAGTGAATTTTTCTTCATAAAGAATATTTAAATAAATCAGCATAAATTTCCTCTAGGTTTGTAGAATTAAATATGAAAACACGACACGTGAGAATTACAGAAATGAATGACAAGGGCTTAAATTCAAGGAATAAAAGAAACAATCATCAAATAACAAAGGGAGATTAAGATATATTGATGCCATGCATGTTACTTTATAAACCGTGAATGAATATATACTATGATATATTTAATATTAACTTGCAGAGTAGCATATTAATTCTGCTTTACATTCAGAACTTCGCTAAAAATCATGTACATTTACTATTTTAAAACTCAGATAAACCTTTTATTTGCCCTTTATAGCAGTACTATAAACAGTTAACATGGTAAGGTAGCTTTAATAATTTCCTAAATAAAAACAGTCATGTTAAAAATACCTTTTAATGTAAGCTCAGTTTAAGAGAATTCCCTTGTGCTGCTGTACTTGAGGCTAAAATGGCACAAATGTATCACAAATTCGATTGTTTAAAATGTATACTTCCCGACAGTGTTGAAATTATTCTGTCGTTGTCAGCGTTGGGGTTTATCTTTTCATGCTGAATAAGCAGCTAGGAAATCATCGTGCAGTGGCCTTTGCTTGGCAAATTTTTTATGAAGATTTTATAGCCGAGACATACACGAGAGGGGCATTATGTGGTCACATGGTATTTTCCCCTTATAATACAAAGTTGCAACATCAACTTATAGCCAAAATTAAACAATAAAGGGGAAAAATGATATAAGAGTTATCTAACACCAACCAAGTGTCAAAAGTTGAAGTCAAAGTTTAGTGTACGTTAGGATGGAAAGCCGAACTCTGTGTCAATCAGAATTGGCGGGGGGAGCTCTTGAGGAGGGGAGGGTGGGTGGAACAAAGGTGCTGCCACAGCCATGGCCACGTTCCCCAGCCCTCAAAAGTTCAAGGACTGTGTTTCTGGCAGTTTCGTGAGTCTCGGCCCATACACTGTGACAGTGATGGGTAGGATGGGCAGAGGAGGACAAAAGGGGAAAAACTGGGACAATTGTAACAGAATAACAATAAAGTGATTCAATAAAAGGCATTGAATAGGAAAAGCAGTAATCTGCATCTTCTAATACAGACAATCAAAGATCATCCCGAAAGAGCCCACGGAGCCAGTGACAAAGCTGGCATGGTCTCAGTCCCCGCCCTTGGGATTCTTCCTGTGAGAACGAAAAGGGTGGAACGGCCTTGAACGGGGCGTGAAGAACGACAGGGCGACTGGGCATCTGAGAGGACCGCTTCGCCAAGGAAAGAAAGGATTTCAAAAAATTAGTACAGAGAGAGGACAAACTAACTAAAAATACTATCCTAGCTAGGCAATAAAGTTTCTTTTTAATTATGCAGTTCTACATGACTTAAAAAGGCTTTCTTGGTTTATTTAATGTAATTCAATTTATAGAAAATGCTATTCTCAACAGAATCTTTGATGAAGCATAACTTCATGGTTATAGCATATAATAAATATCTACACATAATTATGTAGTTATTCATTTAATGGGCTCTCTTGAAATTTTTCAAAATCTTGGGTTGGCTTTTCTTTGGCACACAGGATGATAGTGTACTCAGACAGATGCAAACTTTTAATTTTATTCTGTCAAAACAACTAATAAAACCCCAAATTTCATATCAAGTGATTTTCATTTATCTGCATCTTTAGGTTATTCAGGTCAATGCTCCCAGTTTGAGAGAACTAAACTTCTTACTTTTATATTTAAAATGTTCAAATTCATTTGCTTATAAATTTTCTGCTTCTTTGAACAATCTGCAACATATGAGAAGAGTCTAAAATGAAAAAAATTCTACTGTCCTGGTACAGAGCAAGGACAACCCTCTAGTGTCAGAGAATATTTGTGTCATAACTTAGCGTGTTTTTCTCTTTTTAACTCGATAACAGAGGGAGGGAGGAAGAAAAGGACAAATTGGGAGAGGAAGATGGGGAGGGAAGGAGGAGAAGCAAGAGGAGAGAGAAGGAGAAAGGGAGGGAGGGGGAAAAAAGGGGAGGGGGGGAGAGAGAGAGAGAGATCAGTTTGTTGTTCCACTTATTTATGCATTCATTGGTTGATTCCTCTAATGTGCCCTGACTGGGGATCGAACCAGCAAACCTGGCATATCAGGATGACAGTCTAACATACTGAGCTATTAGGGCCAAGTCCCTAGTGTGTTTTTTACTATTAAATACTGCTGTAAAAGTCTGCTATGGACAGATATTCTTAATATGCCAAAAAGAATAAAACATAAGTTTTGCTGAGAAGAAACAAAGGTAAAAATACAGACCTGCCACTAGGTTAAAGGAACCCTTTTTCCCAAAAACAGAACAAAGTAAGTTTCTTTATCACTACTGAAAGAAAAAAAAAAAGAACTAAAAGACATAAATAAATATAAAAATAAAATCAATTATAAATACAATATGAAAATAGTAAGAATTTATTCCTGATACCAACTAAACCCATTAAATACCTTGTAATAAACTAATCAAAAGAGTAAGAGTTTTCATCGAGTTTTCCTTGATGAGGAAAACTTGGTCTTATAGAGTGCAAAGTTTTAAATGTCTGTATATCTCATGATTTGGAGAGGTGTTTTCTTATATGTTCTTTTCATGAATGATTAATTAAAATACATGCATGTAAAGATATAAAATTATTTTTAAGATTAATAATATTATAGCTTAGTTGTCTAACTCTTGGAACAAATTATAATGAAAAATATACAATTCATGATAATCACATAAAATTGAAGATCATAAACTGCTCTCAACTCTTAAGGGTCTACCCAGATCCTTCTACCAGAATTATTCTTTTTGACAGTGGTTCTATTGTTCAATTTCTTTATCTCATTATTATAACACCTATACAGTGTATAGAGATTTAAGTTCTAACACAGTACCTTGTGTACGATAAGTACTCAGCTATTGTGGAATTCAAGGATAATTCTTCATTGCAAAGTACTGTAGTACATTTGAGTGTTGAGCCACTGCTGTTCATCGATGATCTTTTCACTTAAAAAACTTAAAGTAACAAAGTATTATGACTCCAATACTTGAAGTCTAAATTTTGTGGATTCCACTATACCTGTACCTACAATATCTTCAATTCATACTGGCCACAGAACCAAGCCGTGGCTTTTGGCTTAGGGCTACTGAATCTGCCCTGTCTGTACTAATGGGCAGTAACTTCTGCATGAAGAGTTAAGAGCAGGGCCTCAGAGTCACACATTTTCTTCCTCTTACTAGCAGTCTGATCATCAGTATTTTACTTAACTTCTCTGTATATTTGGGTCTGCATATAAAAATGAGGACACACACGATACCTCCCATGTAGTTATTGCGAAACTCAGAGGAAATAATGAACATAAAGCTATGAATACAGTGCCTAGAAAACAGAAAACTCAAACTGTCAGGCAAAACTTCGTTTCAATTGTCTTCAGTCAATATCAAGCCTGCTGCTGTCTGAACAATTCTGTGGACTGGAAGGCTGAGCCCATCCTTCCCCTTGTCTCAACCATGAATGCATATTGGAGTCATTCAGGAAGCCTCTGAAAAGAACCAATGCTCAAGAATCATCCTACAATCCCAACCCAGATACTGACTTCATTATTTTAGGGGATGGCCCAGACATCCATGTTTGTAAAGACCTCCAGGCAGTCTCAATATGCAGATAGGGTTAAAAATTTTATCTAGACCATGCTCAGGGCCAAGTCTCTCTTTAAAGAGTCCTCGTCATTTCATAGCCAACATCTGACACCTGTCTGTGGGTGTTACCTAGGCAATCTCCATTTAGAAAAAGTAGGGATATAATCTAAGAGACAAAGACCAATCTAGAGATAAAAAAGATTACTATATAATTACAACATAACAGGAAATTTTTAAAGGAAAGACCAGATTTTTTCTGAAGTAGGAACAAAGAAGCAGCAGAATAGAAAAATAGAGAAAAGTAGGGTTTAGTGAGTGAAAATGTGAAGATAATCGCAGCACTTCAATGTTCTTTCAAGGTACTTCAATTCCTATTACATATGCCTAAATCACATATGATCTCATTTGATCCTTACAACACTCCATTGAAGTATTATCAGCTCCCTTCTCATATGAGGACCAGGAGGCACTGAGGCATCAGGTTCATGAGCCAAGGTCATATATTTAAACAGTGGTAGAGCTGGGATTTCAGCCCAGGACTGATTCCAAACCCACTCCCTTAAACCTCATGCCGTACTATCACTCTGTCAAAACAAAATCTTACCTGATGTAAGGCATACAAAAACCCTTAATTATTTTATTTCTAAACCCAAAGTGATGTGACTATTAAAAAACAAACTATCAGTGGTGGTTACTTTTGAATAGTGAGATTATAGGTCATTTTTAACTTTAATTTACCTGTATTTGATAAATTTTTTAGAATAAACATGAATTCACCTTTGGAAAAAAAGTACAATTTTTAAAGCAAGTATACCACAGAATGTTTATCATTTACATAGTTTCTAATGTAGTACCTTCCAAAAGTATTGACACAATGGAAAACTTTCTTTTTTAAAAAATATATTTTCCACACAGGTACATCTTTCTCAATTTTCTTCTCTGGAGTGTAACACACACACACTCAGAAGGGTAAGGGAGACTAATTACCTGTGCACTGCCCCCCATTGGTGGGGTCCCCGTAGTAGCCGGGCAGGCAGTCCTGGCACTGCCTGCCCGTGGTGAGGTTCTTACACTGCTCACACACATCATCATGGACACAAATGCTGTGTCCGTTGCACTGGCAAGCTAAAGAAAACAGCAGAAAAATACATTACAAATATCTGTGTAATAACACCAAGTGTAACTACTATCGAGACAAAGAGTTTATTTTAATAATCTGCATGGTAGCAAGGTCCTAAGGACATTGTCCAAGTTGTTTTAATGTATAATATATGTGGCTCAAAATATCAATGCAGGGGAATAAACACAATAAATTCTATTTAGAAATTCTGCTTTATACTCTATAAAATGCACTGGTTAGAGATAAATAGGAACATAAAAGTTATAGCTAAGCAGAGGATATGTTTTAATACATTCCTAAAAGATTCATGTGAGTATTCTGTCTACTAAGTTACATAAACAAGACTTCATAATCCAGCTTTGATTTTAAAAAGGTTAAAATTATATTTATACATAATAACAAAGGATTGGTAAATATAAAAAATTGTGTGGCAATAGGTCCTTACTGCAAGAAAATATATGTGTAAAATTCACAAAAATACTACTTTTAAATTAATTTGCATAAATGTTTACCATCTTTGAGCAAGAGAAGCTTCAAGGCTTAACTGAAATTCTATGTGAATGTGAACTGACAGAATCAGATATGTAAGCATGATATTTTTGTGCCTTCTAATATGAAATTATGTTTTCATATTATTATAATAGCAATTAACAATTTTCAGACTATGAGAGATAAAGTTCATATATGAAATCTCACACCTTCAGTGTTTATTTGGAGTATAACATTGACTTAGTTTGGTAACTGTTTGTCCAGACCTCATCCTCACTGCCACCTTCATAATCCTTTTCATCATTATTACAACTGAGACAGCATTTAACAGAGCTCTCGCGCACTCTAGCCCAATGTTCAGGAGATTCCGATGGTTTGTGGCAGGCGTGTATTCTGATTGGTCAGTTTACACACAGCATCAGTTTTAAAATATTGTAAATACCACCCCATTGCCAGACAATATACCAGATGATATTATACATGAATTAAATCATCTAATCATCTCATCATTTACTCTCTATGGAAAGTCCTATTTTAGAACCACTTCTAAGATGAGGAAGTCTGGTGGGCTAAGCAACTACCCAAAGCCACACAGCTAACTGATGGCAGAAACTGATGGCATTGTCAGGATGTATGAATCAAAAGACATTAAATGTCATACCACAGGTAGGTGGAAAGTTTGGATATGAAAAGTAAATCCCAAGAGACTACCACAAGGTCATCCACATCAGTCACCATCAAAGGGTGAAGAAATACACCCACATAAAGAGTAAAAACCAAATACCTTTATCTGACAAAAATTTTCAGAGGCACACCTCTGTTGTAACATAGCATATAAATGACATGAAATCATCATGGAAAAAATGTCAAATAATCTTCACCATCCTTTTAGTCAAATTGAGAAAAGTTATAATTTTCAACTCATTATCATTTTTACATTATGAAATGGGGAAATTTAATAACAAAGAAAATGTTTATGACAAATTAAGTGAAATAAAGATAAAAGATTATGTTTAGATAATCAAATTTTGTTTTTAAATATTTAAATATGCCTGTGGAAAAGTTAATGATTGTTATCTTAGTTTAGTAAATTGTTCTGTACCATCGATTTTCTACAATAAATTTATATTACTTTTAACATAAGAAACAATGTTAACTTTAATTTTTTAACATGCTTAAATGTTTAAGACATTCTTTCATAAAAAATTTATGTGAAACCTAATGCACAGTGAATTAAATAATGTTAATTCACTGGTGAAAAAACAGACTTTATCCAGTACTCCCTCTATGTAAAGCATTATCTGAAATAAACCAGAATAAGAGATGGGTAGCTTTAGGTGTTTAATGAACCTCCTGTCTACATGAGTATATGCTTTAACTGCTGAATAAGAGGGTTAAATTTAGCAATTGCATCTAATCCTCAAAGATTTCCATTAAAACAATAAGAAAACTTGCCAGCAACAACAAGAATTTAGTTATGGTGACAACCATACAAATAAAACTAGAAAGCGGTAACCTGCAATAATACCTCTGGAAATAAAAAGAGGATCCCTAGTATAATGTCACTCAAAGCCTCCTTCCCAAAAGTGAATTCTAAAGCCAGGTCTGGGCCACATGATCATGAAGAAGCAAAGCATATTACCTGCATGCTTCCATACACCTGTTGGAAAGCATGATACAAGTATGTCTGAAGTTTCATGTAGTGAATATACCATAGAGAAACCATGTATATTTTAGACTTAGTTGCAAGCCAATTTTCCAGGAGAAAAAAAGTACAATCATTGTCATAGCTTTAATTAACACAGCAGCAATGGCAAAGGAGAGGACAGGTTATAGAACACAAGACCCAGGAGACATACCCTCTGGCCTACTCACGTCAGAGAGCTACACTGAACCATATTTATAATGTTTGAAACCTTCAGTTATAGCCCCAATCTGTGAAAAAAGCACTAAGCACGTCACAAGCCTAGAGAAGCAGAAAAGAATCTTAAGTACACTGAGGTGTGTGAATACAAGAATAAAATCACTTGTGAGACGTTAAAAGCCTGCTCCAAGTATGTGTGTTGGGTGGAAATTGACATCGTCCATATGGTGCAGAAACCTCACCTTGAACATGCAGAGCACGTTCTGTAAACAAGGAAAGCTGCAGGCACCTTGCAAAAGCAATTGTAAATAGCCCCTTAAAAATACTTCTACAATTCAGGTCACACAAATATGAGGTCTGTCCAGAAAAAGCTGAGCCATTGTTAATATAACAAAATCAGTTTGTGCAGCCTAGGTTTACATGGCCAGCGAATGTAACCTGGCAACCAAGGAGAGTGGGCTGGTATGCACATGTGTGAACAATGACAACTTTACCGTACTGGTCAGTGTGGGTAGTAGATGCCATTGAGTGAGCATGTGTACTGTGTAGTCGTTGCGTTCAAAATGACCTAGCAAGTAGATCAACAAATCTGCATCGAATTTTGCATTGTTTAAATATTTCTCCACAAAAACTATTTGGACGATTCAGAAGGTTTTTGGGGACAATGAGATGAGTGCAGTGCAAATAAAAGCATAGCACAAATGCCCCGAGATGGTCGAGAATCTGTTGAAAGTGATCCCCATTTTGGAAGGTCTGCAACGGGCAGAACACCTGAGAATGTTGAACATGCATGAGCTGCAATAAACAAAGATCGGCGACTGGCAGTGTGAGGAATAGAAGCTGATCTGGGAATCCCAAAAACTACTGTGTCCGAGATTTTGACAAAGGATCCTGGTGTCGAATGTGGCATGGCAAAATTCATTCTGCAGCTTCTGCTACCAGAGCAGAAGGAACATCGTGCTACAGTTGCTAATGACTTGATTCAAACTGCTACCAATAAACCAGATTTCCTCAAGAAGGTCAGAGTCAGAGATGAATTGTGGGTCTACAGGATGATCCGGCAATGAAGGCCCAGTTGTCCCAACAGAAGTCACCTGGTTCTCCACACCCGAAGAGGGTTCAACAAAGTCACAGCAAGATGAAGACCACATTAACTGTGTTTTTTGATTGGGCAGGTGTTGTCCATCATGAGTACACTCCTCCAGACCAGACAATTACTAAGGAGTACTACCTCAATGCTGTTCATCAGTTGAGAGATGCAATACGATGAAAACGGCCATAGCTATGGGCAACTGGTGATTGGCAGCTTCATTGCAACAATGAGCCCACTCATGCATCATGTCTTGTGCAAAGTTTTTAGTGAAATATCAAATCACCCAGGTGACTCAGCTCCCCTATAGCCCAGATTTGGTGCCCTGAGACTTCTCGTTTCCCAAAACTAAAATTCCCTTTGAAAGGGAAGAGATTTCAGACCATTGATGAGATTCAGGAAAATGAGACAGGGCAGCTGACTGCAATTCTAACACAGGATTTTTCAGAGAGTTTTGAACACCTGGAGAACTGTGTGAGGTCTCAAGGTGCCTACTCTGAAGGGGACTGAGGTGTCATTGCCTTACATATAATGTTTCTTGTATCTTCTTCAATAAATATCTCTATTATTCATATTCCATGGCTGGATACTTTCTAGACAGACTTTGTATACTACAGAATAGAGACTTGCAAGACTTTTTCCTGTAAATGGCTTCATAATAACTATTTTAGGCTTTGTAGACCATATAATCTATGTTACAACTACTCACCTCTGCCATCGCAGGCAAAAGCAATCATACAAAGTAAGCAAATAATTGATAATAGCTGTAATCCAACAAAATTTTGCTGACAAAGATAAGCAATGGATTAGGTTTGACCTGTAGTCTCAGGTTTGCAAACCACTGACATAAAACACACAACAATAACTAAAACTTCAAAATGAAAATTTATGAGTTATCATAAAGGAGTCAGGAGAATAAAAGAGAAAATAAACAGGAGAATTACACCCCAAAATGGAAGTAAAAGGAAAATTGGAAGACAATAAAAAATATTCAAAATAATTAAAAACAAAATATTTTTAAACTATGCTTAAAAAATAAAGGTATATATCAAAACATAGAAATTATAATAAAGAACTAATGAAAGTTATGAAGTAGAAAAGTGATAACTACAATGAAAAATACACTAGAGGGATTCAACAGTAGATTTGAAATGACAGATGAATAGCAGCCTTGAAGAGAGTTCAATAGAGATTATGTAAATTGAAGTACAGAGAGAAAAAAGTGAAGAAAAATTAATAGAGATTCAAATAAATGTGGGACACAGTTAAGTGTACCACCATATGCGCCATGGGAACATTGGAAGCTTAGGGGGGAAAAGGAGGCTAAAATTTGAAGAAATAATTTCTTAAAACTTCTCATTTGATAAAATTGTTAATCTACATATCCAAGAAGCTTAACAAACTTTAAGTATAATAAATATGAAGAGATCAATAAACATATTACAATAAAAATTATAAAAGCCAAAGGCAAGGAGAAAATAATGAAAGCAAGACAAAATATGACTCCTCACTTATAAAGTCCAATAAGATTAACAACTGACTTTCACTCAGGAACAATGGAG